GTAAAAAAAAAAAAAAAAAAAAGACAGACACTTCTCTAGCCAACGTCTTGAACTTCCTTAGCTGCTGTAGAACAAGTAGGTTGTGCTTGTCTTTGGAGTGACTTTAGCGGAGTGTTTGATATTTGCCAACTTTTAAATTTTCCTGGTAAATGGGATTGTTGCTGATGAGCTTTTCAGAGTTCTGTGCTAGGCAAGGACATCCTTTGCCTGTTCTGTGTAACATTCCTCACTTCAAAGCATAATGGCCAAGATTTGGTTTAATTCAGTGAAATCCCTGGTAACAGATTTCATTAGCAGCTGTTTACTGGTTGACTTAAAGCCGTCTGAATAATTGCCATGCCATAGGGACTCTCCTAACATGAATTCTAACTTCCTGAAGCTTTGAAATCAACTGGTGAATCCAGTCCTGTCTTTGTACCTGACGTGGCACTATTTAATGATTCGTAACTCAGAGTTGTGTCCTGCTTTACTAGGGAAATAAACAGGGCTGAGATTTATGTATGGTAGACAACCCCAAAATGTGCTGTTTCCTTTTAGTTCTGGTTTGGATGAAGTGTAGCATTCAGTAGCAGCAGTTAGCAAGTTTCTGAGTGTTGCTGGTTTTCCCCCCCGGGGCAGGGAAATGGCCAGACGAAACCCTGGATCTATTTGCTTATCAGCGTTTTCCTCTCTGACATTCTGTGGTGGTTTGTTTAAAGTCCCTCCATCCCTTCTCATTCAGGAATACTGAGGAAGATGGAGATTGAGAAAGCAGATGACTTGAAGATTGTGTCAGAAGTTGCCATGCAAGTTTTCAGTGATGGCGTAACAAACTGGGGGCGAATTGTGACTCTCATTTCTTTTGGTGCCTTTGTTGCCAAACACCTGAAGAGCATAAATCAGGACAGCGGCATCAGCACTTTGGCAGAGATTATCACAGATGTGTTGGTGACTGACAAAAGAGAATGGCTGCTGCATCATAACGCCTGGGTAAGTGAGATCTTCCTGGCCTTCAAGGTGCTCTCTTGCTTGTTCCTCCTTATAGCAGTTCTCAGGTGGAATCTCAGCCTGGAAACTTCCACTGCGCTTGAGGCTAGTTGCCCAGAGACAGAATTAACTGCTTCAACTTCTAGATTACAGGGTCTGCTTCCACGTTAAATCAAGATCAAGGTGTGAACAGCTGTGTCTTGAGGTGTAGGCAGATGTGGCATGAAAGGACTTCCTGTTCCCTCAGAATGGATTCTAGGGTGGCTTCTGTTCCTGAGAATGGTGGTGGGAGGGAAAGAAAGGTTCCATGGTAGAATAATTTCTCCTCTGCAGGTCTCTGGGATACAGGTCATCTTCTGCCCAGTTCCAGATAATTGCTGGAATTTGCTTCTCGCTTCTTGCGGAATGTGCCTGCCTGCCTGCCTGCCTGCCTGCCTGCCTGCCTGCCTGCCTGCCTGCCTGCCTGC